TCCAAAGAGACTCTTTTCCACTCCTACCTTTTGTGCCTTTTTCGTACGCCAAACCCACTATACGTGCTCCGTGGTTGGGAGAAACTCTGCGATAGTAGGAGGATCTTTGTGTACGCGGGTTGGTTTGTTAGACTCCGCCAACACGGTAGGGGAATCCTCCGTGTAGCATCGCAGCGGTGCTATCTCCACTGGGTCCAATCCTCGCACATCTATGCGAAATATGGGGCATTTGCGCAGTCCGAACTCTGCTATAGTCCAAAGTACGCATTGTTCCCATTTTTCGTTGCCTCGTACGCGTACACCGGCTATGCGCCCCGTTGTTGCGTGGCAGTACCAAGCTAGGAATATTTCTTTCGTCTCCTCGCAGCAAATACACAAACATCTATCCAAGTGTTCCGCGAGCGCCAACCACATGTTCTTTGGTGGTTGTACTACGAATATATCTGCTAGAGGTTCTATCGTTTCCGCTATGGCATTTGTGTGCTCTTTGGAGAAATCCCTGCCATAGATGGATATTTCCACTCTGCTGCATCCTCTTTTCTGCACGTCTGGATGCAGGAATGTTCTGCGCAGGTGGTCGTTTGGGCAATCCACGTACTCTGCCAACTTTGCGCCTACTGGATTCTGCACTTCCCCGGCTTCGAAGTTGGATACTATCTTGTTGTATATTTTCGTTCGTTTGCCGTCTTCCATCCAAGTACAAACATGCCCGCCTACTTGGTGCGTGTTGTCCAAAATAGTACCTTTGCGTCCACCCAGTTCTCCTTGCATTTCGTACCCCAGCTGCAACAATCTGCGCACCAAAGCTTTTCTATCCAAAGTACCGGAGAAATCCTGTGTGTAGTCCACGGAATAGATACCATATCCGTGCGCATCCAGTAGAGTAGCAAACTTGGGTATCTTTTCCTCCACGGTTTCTATGGACAATTCCGAGGTGTCTACTTTGGCTACAAATACCGCTGCGGGTTCTCCATGCAAACTAGACCACTTGGCTGCCATGTGGGAGACGCGATCTACTATTTTTCCTTGCCTGCAGCTGTGTACTATTTGGACATGTAGGAACGTACCAAAGGCTTCCTGGGTCGCCGTGGATATTTTGGAGACCAAAGTCTTCGCGTTTCTGCATATGCGCCCATACATGTCATTCTCTGCGACAAACCCGTATACAAACACATCGTCTACAAACGGTGGTAGCCCGGACAGCGGCTGCAGGCTGGTAGTACCTTCGTTTCCGCGCAAATAGTCGCACTTGGATATGTCGGGCAGTAGATTTCCATCGTATGCGTTGTCCGACAGCAAATGTGCTAGCACCCTATTTTTCGCACGTATGCCCATCTCTTGTAATGTTGCCGAAATACTCTTTTGCTCTTCCATGTATATATAGGGTGTCGAAGGTTTTTGGCTACTAGTGGAAGGGAGGTGAATCGCCTCTCTTGCTACGAGGGCACTGTTTTGGGAATTGCTACTATGGAGAGGCATTTCGCCTCCACTACGGACATTCCTGGTGCTTGCTACCAGCGCAGTGGACACAAAAAAATACTACTTTGTGCAAGAATGTGTCTACCAGGAATACCCGTGCGGGAGTAGAAAAGGTAGCCGAAAATGGTTGCCGAAACGATGGGCAAAAATATGCTCTTATAAGTTATCAACGCTTCAAAGTCTGCATATATCACGTAAGGCACCTGCATCTGCTTTTGATGGTNGGAGACAAACCCTTGAATCAGGGGAGAGAGTAAATGCGTTTTACTAACCATCTCTGTCCATAGTAGTCAACACATCAATAATTTCTTCCTGTGAAAGTTGGATGTCAACAGATCTCAAGGCAAGGTCCAGTTCTTCTGCGTCTATCGTGCCTCCTCCATTGCTGTCAAACAGGTCGAATACTTCTTTGAACGCTAAATTTAYAGAGAAAAGAATTATAAACGGTAAAAACCTCTGCAGTTATATATTCCTCTGCAGTTTATTTTTTATTTTTTCTCAGTAAACTCTGTTTCATTCGGTCAGGGATCGATAAGGGTCTATAYTTTTCATTCGCGGACTGCCGTAATCCCTCAATCAATTCTCTTCTAGCTTCTTTATACCCGTGTCGCATATAGTTTAATACATCAAAAAAGAGTTTATCTTTATTCTGAAAAGTTGAACATGTAAACTGATTACACCGTTAGCATGCAAACTGTTTGGAAAATGGCCTTTGGTTTTAGGGCGCACTTTAATTTAGTGAAAAGAGACAGAAAACTTTAATTGTCGAGTTTATTCAAATTTCGAATTTCTTTCGTTTCTTAATGCATAAAAAGCCTGACCAACGAAAAGGCCGTCAAAACAACTTTATAAAGGGTGGCGCATTTTAACAATTCCGGCCGGACAGGCTAATATAATACGACTTTGTAGCCAACAAAGTCTTTACGATACCATGCCCAGCCTCATCCAGAAGCAGCATTTAAATCGCTACATTAAAAACGTTTAAGAATGATAATCGTTACAGTTTACCGTTGACGACATCGTTTGTAACGGTGACTCCAAGWTGTGTTACAAACTCATTGGAGTCGTCTTCATCTTGTGATTGGAGGGAACTTCCGGAAGGTTCTTCGACTACAGTGTTGCCCATATGTAAGAAGTCATGGGCAAAAGCATTACGCCTGACATTTTTGGGGGGATTCATTCTTCAGTCTACGTACATCTATCAAAGCATTGTATGGATTCTCATTATACAAGCGCGCGCGATGTGTTCCACTGTGCGTCTGAAACGTCACTAACAGTACGWTTCTGATTTTAATTATTTCATTTTTAACCATACGTTGTCATTATGACGTCATAGTACTATGTCATAAAAGTACGTCATATATCAGTGTTACTCACACTGAACAATAAAACTAAGATAACTGAGATTTCCTTCTGTTTGCTTCAAAATAATTCTCGTATGACRTAAAAATCCATAATTACGAGATCATTCACTGAGCCCAGGGTACAAATCGCACAGTGCCGTGCGCAAAATCCCTTTTCGACAAAGAGTACTTCATACTCGGATCGGAACGACCTCCGCTGTGGATATCTTACCGTCATAACAACTCTATGCTAGCTGTCATGTCAAATCCTTTGAAAAAAGCTTTCAACTTTTATCGACACCATGAAAGAACCTCTGCGCTGATCAAAGTAAGGGCATGGCTAACGAACAGATCAAAATTGGATCTAAGCTTTTTAGGTTTTGCCGGAAAGACCTGGCAAACTCTACTCAATAAGGATGCCGAATCCGACCCCAGAGGTTAGAGTCGTATCGTTATAACAGAAAATATTATAACATTCTCTCTTTACTACTAAGTGCTTATTGCAATAAACACTTAGGCCATAGCTTTGTATTTGTCAATATTCCTTTTTCCGCCTTATTCTCGATCTTTTAGAAATACATACCCATGCCAGCCTCGCGCACAAAAACTATAAACGCGTTTATAATATTACGTACTAAATCACTATGGAGACCAAATCTACTTCGGGCATAAYKTTTTCACATTTTACTTCACGTATCATTTTCTTGAGAATAAGGCTCCTTTGTTTGAGTTGTATCCATATTCATGCYTCTTCTCATGCCGTTAAACAAAGAAATGATGCTCTAGGAATAACTTGAGTCTGAAATGGGAAAACATTGTGCCCAAACAAAAACAACTAAATTTATTATGTCAGAAGTTGACTTCTGACCAAGTCGACTAGGACGACAATAAAAATTGCAAAATATGCTGAACAAATCTGTCCTAGATAAATGTTTGAAGTAAAGTACTTTTTTTGTCAAGAGCTTATTCTATGCATCAGCGTCCTTGAACAATGAACAATTGGTTCAGTATCAAGTGGTGAATTGCTGTCGTTATAAAACACCTGGTATGCGAGGGTGAAGTCTGAAGATACCAAATGAGGCAGCTGGAGCGGTTTGGATTCATTTTATGAACACTGAACTCTTGGCTCTCCAACGTTAACGGCGCACACAACTGATGAGATTCGATCCAGCTGAACTAAAGTTTTATGATAGCGAATTTACTAGAACATTTTTTACTCAGTCTTGTTGTATTCATATTCTCCTTTCCTTCTGTCACCCGTAGAGGAGGTTAAGGGGAGACTCTGCTCGCAGTCAATGTCGCTGTAAACAACTTTGCAGTGCAGTTTGGAGAGGAAACTCAATAATTACTTCCTCCAGGCCAATTCAAATGTTTATATGTAGGCTTTGGAACCCGAAGCTTAAAGTATAGCTGTTTAAATAAACTCATGGTGAAATTTTCAAAATTAGAATAATTTTAATTCTTGCAAAAATCCCTGCATTATTGGGTATCGTATCGGCGGCGCTCACTGAATTGCTTTATGGCAGATTTCATTTAGTGCCAAGCAAAACTACTGTCACAACGGCTATTTTTCTTCTTCGTTCTTCAGTTCTCTAACGGGTAATATTGCTATTTTAATCTTCTTTCGTCTATTTTTTTTCTTCAAAACACTATTCTTTCTTAGTTAAAGAAGCTCGTAGCCATTGCATGGCAACGACGTGAGGAAGTATGATATTTTGTTTCGGACGTTATCTTAAAGTCTAGCTGATAACGTTCTATGATATGACGACCGGCCGCAAGTTTACAAAGCATCGTCACCACCAGTTCTTGTCATTAGTGATATCATAGATGGGAACACTGATAAAGTGGTTTATTCCAAATATTCCWATACCGCTCAAGAGTCATCGCTTTCATTTTCATTTTCATTCCTTTTTCATCGTTTTCATGCGTGAAGTTTGAGAAATATGCAGGCGAAATTTTAGCTTCCAAAAAACACCGAATTATCCGTAGGAAAAAAATTCACTGGTTTCAATGATAATTATTGTGTTYGTTGCTGTTGTTGTTGTTGTTTCTTTCTATTCCTCTTCTCCTACTACTTCTTTTTCTCGTTTTCTGTATAGATTGCCGAAAGGATTCTGGTTTCCGAGTAGCTTACGATGATAACACGACGAGTCCACGAGACAGGTGATTAGAATGTCTGGAGCCCTGTGTTCCTAAACTCACAGGCGACTTGGTGTCGAACACACARTAAAGTGTGAAGATACACCTAAAGAAAACGGGAAATGCTTTCTTTCCAAGCTATTTTCTGCCTTATTTGTGCATGCTGTGTTGCCTTAGCTCCTATAGAAGGTATGTTCTTGTGCTTTTGGGGATATTTTGCTTCGTTGTTCGACATATTGAACAGACTTCAGCGAACGAATCGAAATTACATGGAGCCCAAAACTATAAACGTCGCGCCGTTCTTTATAGAAGTTCATTATRGATCCTTGCCTTGTTTGGGCTCAAGAGGCTTCTGAAAGCTCAAATAATCTTCGAAGGCCTCACRGTCTTACTTGCGTCTTGTCGTAGCGTAAAATTCAAACTTTTTTGGTAGTTTAGTGTTGTTGGTATTCACGCCAAGCAGCTAGAAATGTTGGCTTTGACTGATTAACAAATGATCGACGTTCATAGTTCTATGCACGCAACCCTTAACTACGATATTATCCTTGCTTTGTCCCTAATATTAGTATGCTTTRGGTCATTTTTTTCTCCTTTCTTTTCGAAGTGTGAATAAAACTGATTTTGACGCTTTCAAGCAGTTTCATCACAGAATTCATGCATAGAGGCTCTGASTAATTATATAAACGAAAACTCGAAGTCTGTCTGGCTGACTTTTTCAAATCTATGTCCTCTGTATTTCACATTAAAACATTATAAGCGATCAGGATCGCATTTTCTAAATATTTTGCGCACCAGAACCATAGCCKTTTCTTTTTATTGTTTAGCTGGGCCTCTAACTGAACTATTTTTATTTTTAGAATTCATATATTTTGGAAGATTAATTCCTAAAACAATTTGCGCCTTGAAAATATAAGCTTAACKTCGATCAAGCTCTCATACTTAAAGCAATCCATGCTTCGCTATTATGCACCGTTATAATACCGCCGTTTAACCAAGAACTTATTTTATTCCTCGGTTTCTTATTCTAAAATCTTTGATTATTTGTAAATTTTGGTAATGATTTAATTTATTCTTCCTGAGGGAACAGCTTATCACATACGACTAGACGTTTATRTTCGCTGTCAATTTTGAGACAATTTCTTAGCTTTGCAAATGTTTAAATCCGAAATTTGGAATTTATTGTGTGTTGGTTAGAAGTATTTTTACAATTACTGCTTTTGCATTCCATATTTGATTTTTCTTATTTTGTCTGGTCAGTTTCAGGACAGATTGTTGATTTTTTCCATTAACGATGTTATTTATTTCGACCAATGTGTATCTTTTAGTCAAACATTACCCCAGATGGCAAAACCCAATTTTACATGCTTGACAATACTTCAAAGAAACGTGTTTTGACTGCARTGTAGTTCTTATCCATGTTCCACTTTTTATTTACACTTTTGTCTAATGAATATACAAGTTTGAATAAGCACACAAAGAGTACAAAACAAAATAGAATAATCAAAGAAAAACTGTTTTGAAAATATTTTTCCTGATCTGTGCTTTTGTAGCTATCTTATTATTTTCTTCTTTTCACAGCTGATTTTATCCTGTCAACTRGGGGTGTTACTCTGGTTTTCCCTTCAAACATTAAAATTTATTTTYGAATTTCGTATTCTAAAAAAATTATGAACTACAGTAAATTAATGTTCTAACTGTATACCTAATTATGTGCGCATATGTGCCCTTCACATAATAGAGGCTGTATATAAGGAACTTGGTCAAGAATTAATTGTGCCTATTATTGTTCATCCAGAGATTAAAAAGTAATATCAGACAAGGCTCGTGATTATTCGTATGTATAGGCTCTAATTCTTTGTGTTTTTAAGACCTTTGTCAAACAAAAGCTATTTGTGATTTTACAGAATGAAATAATYCTGAGTCACAAGTAGCTAAGTCACAAAGAGTAGGAAAATGACATATTTTCATCTATTATGTTCGATCGTACCTAAAAACTCATATTTTAAGTAACTGGTCAAGACTAGCTCAAAATTTTAGCATATATGCTCTCAATTTTTTAATGAGGTTTCTAAATTCTTATGTTTTCTGGCCTGCTGTTCTTAACCCAAGCAAAAAAGGGCGGAACTAGTTTAAATTCTAAAAAATATATAACTCATTGACAAACATAATGAATTCGTGTCTACTTTTTGGCCTCCTGCAAAGGAATTTACATTCAAAACAAAKGATTCTCTTGATAATACTGCCTATATCTCATATTTGTGGTCAATTGAAAAAACCCTTTCTCAGACTTCAAAGGAAAGTTTTATTTTCAACCCTTTGGTGTTCAAAATTTTTTTTCACATTTGATCAGATTTGATCTTAAACGATCAAGGTTATCGGCCAGAATGTTTTAATTAGTGCTGTCCATTTAAAGCTTCGTTGTTTTTTTTCCATCTTTTTTTTTTTTTAAATTCACTACATATTAACCTTAAAAGTCAAAAATGTTCCTAACAACTATATTTACCTTGAAGTCAGAGTTCAATAATGGTTAAAATGGTTCAAAAGATATGTGAAATGTGTTTCAATTCACATCTTTAATAACATCTTAATGGTTCAAGACTTTTAAAACATATAAAATGCTGAGCAAGCACTCTTATAATTCTAGTTAACCAGTCTCGATAGACTAAACAAAGAACCAAAAGAGCTTTCTTTTGTATTGAACTAATCATTTAAAAACTTTTTGTATTACGATAACAATATTCTTATCCATTTTGCATCAAGTCATTTACGAGAAGTTAAGGATACATATTTTAATACTTCAATGGCTAAGTTCTTATATGTAGATTTGGAAATTCAGTAAATAAATAAAGGAGGTTTAAATGCTGAATTTGTAATTACATCTGCAAATGGTTAGACCTTCAAATGGCTTTGATGGCCACGTTAATGGTAGACCAGTCACTAATCAACTTGAGCCATTAAAAGAGGACCATTAGTTCATCACTTGAATTACTATCTTTATGAATTACTGTATGCATATTACTGTGTAAATACTACTTGATTTATCTATTTATTTAATAAGTAACTCAGTTCACAAATGTAGAATCAAACCAGGATAGCAGTAGTATGAGGAGAGCATTCTCATTMTCCACTATGCCACCAATGCTTCCCAAATACTCATTTGGAAGTCATTTTACAGTGTATATATTAAAAATCATGTCTGAAAAAATAAAAAATATATAGAGCTCCTAAACATTTTTTTAAAGATAAAAAATATATTAAATTTTGCATCTATTCTTTGACTTTACTTTTGTTGATTKAACTTCAATTTATAAGAGGCACATGTCTTGAGAATATACTAATATGGTAACTTCAACAGTAACATTGAAGTTTACAGTTACTAAAACTTTCCTTTTTAGATTTTATTGCTACAGTACGCCAACATYGTGAATACATGTTTCTTGGGATATATATGTAATGTTTCTATAATTCATCATGTCTGTGATTTTATATTTTCAGGTGTAAAAGCCAGTGCAAYCAACAGTACAAGTGTGTCCACATTTGATTGTATATGCAATACATGCTCTGGTGGCAAAAAGTGTCAGTCTACCATAGCATGTTTTTCATCTCTGGTTAAAGAATCTGGTAAACCTGCTGTCATCAAGAAAGGCTGTATCAACAACAATGTTCATCATCAGATGACATGTTGGGGGAAATCAAACAAGTCGTCAAGACAGCACTACACAGTTTGTTGCAAAAAGGATGAGTGTAATGCTCTCATCAACCCAACTTTCCCTCCAAGTAAGTTTTATWCTCGTAATATTTACTGAACAATACTTTACTCGGAGCTTCAGAGTTGATGTTGTAAATAGTATTTACAGTAATATTTTAAAGGGATTCTATAAGTTTCCCATTTAGTTTTAAAATGTCTTATTGAAGTTAATATAAAGGAAAATGGCATGATTTATGATTAATATATAGCAAATACTCATAGGCACTTTAAAGTGAGTTATGAATTTATAAAAGTTGCTTAGTATAACTTTAGCGTAGGTACCAGGTTGCAGTCACTTTCAGTGTTTCTTTATGACCCCAGAGGCTTTTTATTAGTAACTTTTATTGGTTATGGATGAGGAAGTGCRAAGACGTGGGAGTTACTGATATTTTAAGATGGAATTACAAGGCAACAGTTGCTCAGTTATTTTTAGATCCTGAGTTTAAGTAATACAGAGGTGTTTGTAAGGAGTTTATATGAGTAAATTAGTCTGTTATTCAAGCAAGTGTACTGCAGTGCTCAGAGCTTTCAATAAAAGGCGGCAGCCGGCAATTTATCTCCGTATACTTCTGCCTAAACTGCCGGCTATTTTATACTTAATAGTACACATAATTAATAAAAAAGGGGACTAAAAATCCATTCATTACCAAATAAAGACATATAATAACATCAGTGGATTCAAAATTCTTCRGAAACGTCTTTATTTTTRTTTGTTTCGATGCAACAAAACCCGCCACATACACATCTTTCRAAACAAGTAGTTGCCATCTTGATTTTAGAGCGCAAAGGTCTCTGGGTAATATAACRGGCTTCCTGTGGTAGTTAAGACCAGCGGTGTTCCTGGTAAGTTTTTTTTTAATGTGTAGTTCCAGAAAATATCCATGATCCCCCAAAACGCCAAAAACCCAAGTGCTCCGATTTAGCGAAAACGGTAATATTTAGTTTTTTAATTCACATAAACTGCTTAAARATTTGATAAAAATGCATTAAAAAATTCAGAAATCACTGTTCAAATTCTGTGGTAACATTTCTGAGGTTCTAAATTTAAAAAATTTCTGGGGGGGCTTGCCCCCAGACCCCCCTAGTTAGCAGGGCCTTCCGGCCCTGTTTGTGCCACTGCCCCCTACTACTTGGGAATAACCGCTTACTCCAAAAAATATTGAAAGCTCTGAGTGCTGTGTAGCTGTTCAGTWTCACATAATCAATAATGTATATAATTGATATTCCAACTAACTTATGATTTTTTTCCTTGCTTCAAGGTGAGCCACAGACCACTCACAAGAAAAAGTATGACACAGAATTCTTAGTAATAAGTATCTGTGCTCCAGTTGCAGCATTAATCGTTTGCATTATAGTAGTGTACATAATATTCCATAGACTTATTAAATACCATGTACGGCACCAGGCAGTACCACAACATGAGTCAGAACCTGTTGGGCATATCCACTGTGCCTTTAAAGCTCCAGGTAGCACACTTCAAGATCTCATTGATATATCATCTGGWAGTGGATCTGGGTTACCATTGCTGGTTCAACGAACAGTGGCTAGAGAAACCCAGCTTATAGAGACAATAGGAAAAGGACGTTATGGCGAAGTGTGGAAAGGCCAGTACCAGGGTGAATAYGTTGCTGTGAAAATATTCAACAGTACTGAGGAAGCATCATGGAAAAGAGAAACTGAAATCTACAACACTATAATGTTACGTCATGAATCAATTTTGGGGTTTATTGCTGCCGATGTGCACTCACGCAAATCCACCACTTACATGTGGCTCATAATGCATTACCATGAGTTAGGCTCCCTTTATGATTTCTTAAATAGATCAACCTTTGATGCYGAGACAATGGTAAGGTTGGCCCTATCTGCGTCAAGTGGACTAGCACACTTGCACACGGAAATTGTGAATGGGACAAATGGGAATGGTAGTAAACCAGCTATTGCACACAGAGATATTAAATCAAAGAACATTCTCGTCAAGTCCAATTATACCTGCGTAGTTGGGGACTTAGGTCTTGCTGTATTATACTCAGGACAGAAGGACAGTGTYGACATGGGCGAGAACACGAAGATCAGTGTAGGCACACGTCGATACATGGCACCAGAAGTACTTGAAGAGAAACTTTATACAAAGTGTATTTCTTCCTTTAAGAGAGCAGATGTTTATGCATTTGGACTTGTTCTTTGGGAGATATCCCGCAGATGTGTTTCTGGAGGTATATTTGTTATTAGTATTAATTTATTTGGAGCGCCACTGCAAAGTTTATTATTGATAACTGTTTACCATCAATAAATATAGATGGTTGTTATTTGTTATCGTCAGAGGGTAGGTGTAGCAAGAGTGTAATTGTTTCTTACCTCTGGTGTCTTAGGTTACATTTCTGGACTTGGCATTGCATGAGAGTGGAAATTGTTTTTTTCCCTTCTTTTTTTGATCCCTCTCTTGCAATATTACAGTAATCAAACTAGAGGTCTACTCCAGTGATGAGAGGAAAGTGCACTACTACTGCACCCTTGTTGCCACCACCAATAACTGAATACTTTCACTGAGTTACTTTCATTAGAAGTTCAGTTTGCATTAGAAATTACAAGCTGACCCCACACTAAATAAGTGCAGTGTAATATTTAAAAAATACACATTTAAAATTTGACAGCATATTACTCATTAGACATTCATCACTTGTCTACTTTAATCAACAGGYTTAGTTGAGGAATACCAACCTCCATTCTATGACATGGTCAATAATGACCCAACCGTAGAGGAGATGAAGAAAGTTGTTGTCACAGAGAACAAAAGACCCTCTCTACCAAATAGATGGATTGGAGACCCGGTATGTGRGATATCAATCAACCTACACTCAATGGGTTAATGGACTAGACAATGAATACACATTCACCACCTTCCACACATCTGTTCATTGGTCACTCAAAACATTCAATCAATGCTTCAAATTCAAGGTAGTKTTAGAGGATTATTCAAATTAATTGAACCTTTCAGCCTTGATTGAATGATTTGTGTTTGACCAAGGACCACTGTATGGAAAGTGGTGAAAAGTCTGTATAATGTTATAAGTTCATCAGAAACTTGTGTAAAGTTTCATTTTTTAAGTTCAAGGGCAAAGTAGGGCCAAGATAGTGCCATAAATTCTGGGAAACTTAAGAAAGAAAAAAAGACTGGGTCCAGCTATTTTTCAATTCCAGGCTAAGTGATTTGATGTTGTGACAAATAAATCAAAAACRGTGGTAGAGATTGCTTAAAGCTTTGAAGGGGTGGGGGTGGTTTTGATCCTCTTTTAATGCTGCTGGTGAGACTGGTAGTTGTAGATACCAAGATATTAAAGAGGGGGAAAATCCCTTCAGATGTCACTCTATTTGACCTGCGACTTAAAGATGAATACATTTGTCTAGAGGGTAGAGATAGGGTCTGTCTGAAGCAAAAATCTGTTTAGCGATGGTAGAGAAGAAGATGGTGAGACTGGTAGTTGTAGATACCAAGATATTAAAGAGGGGGAAAATCCCTGTCTCGAGGGTAGAGATAGGGTCTGTCTGAAGCAATAATCTGTTTAAGCGATGGTAGAGGCGAGGATAAAGATTTCAAAGATATTTAGGTTATGTGGTATCAGTACTTCAATTTCAAATATGGTGAATACTTTTGTTTCCAGGTGCTGAATGTCATGACCAAGGTTATCAGAGAGTGTTGGAATGAAAATCCTTCAGCCAGACTGACTGCACTWAGGGTGAAAAAAACACTCTCCAAGTTAATGGATACATTGAAGCCAAGAAACGACTCGCTTAACACCAGCACCCCACTTATCGAAGACGTAAATAACGTGAATATTCACATCGAATCTGAAGACAGCAAAACTCTACCAATGATKTGATGACACGTGGGCTTTAATCCCGATGGAGATGTAGGAGGATATGTATCGTACACTCTTTTGGACCCCATTCCAAGAATAGGTTATTAGTACCAAGTTCACCAGTAAAACTGGGTATTTCAGCAAATTTCTGGAAACTTCCTTACTGGGACTGTAGATCCTACAGTACAAGTCTTAGAACTAAACAATGTAACTGGTAGGGATAAACGTATGTCATGGGCGCATTAGACATTGAACTTCTGTTTAGGTATCCTAGGGCTTAAGATCAATATTGATCTAGTAGACCATTTGTGCATCTATTTTGATGACAAGACAGATTTTCGATGAGTGAGAAACTTAGAATGTGACTCAAATGGCTWGCGCTTTGATACTTAAACCTGGTGATTCTCACGAGCAAACGCACGTTGACACAAACATAAGCACAAGCGAAAAGCAACGCATGAAGAACAAAATATCCCGTTGTCTTGCGTTTGCGCTTGCGWCACTYCTWTTCATAGTGRGGGGCTGGAGTTCCGTCGGCRTGCTCCGCTAGTGAGAACCAGGCTTTAAAAACACGGTTGATGTGTGGATGTGCTCGTGCTTTGCTCAGTACTGAGTGCGCTACCYTTTAGCAGGCTTTTGAGTTTCATCTAGACTAGGCTGCTTGCAGCCCGACAGCGTAAAGGTCATACTGCATCCCGCACAATCATAGTTAGTAGAGATATATCAATGTTGCTTCCCTCGTTTTTCTCAGGTCGGTGTCCTTATTCAAAATCAAGACTTTCAGCCAATATTCACATCAGCATATAACCTGAGTGGAAGTTTTCCTAAAGCGCAACACTTGTTATGCCTTTAAATTGATGATTATCAGTAGAGGACTTCAAAGGTTGCACTAGGTAACTTCTWAACCCAGATTATTATATCAGATTAGTATATTGTGCATTCACTTGGGATAGGCTGATGAACGTCCTTGTGTCTGAAGAGGAGACGGTCTAACTATGTGTAGGTTTAACCTAGAGTTGTAGTGTAGCTGGGGATTGAACCGACGACTTCACGCACGACAGATCAATTTTTAAYCAACTGATCCAACCGTGTAGCCCTAAAAATGTAGTGAATAACGCGAGGAAAGCTATTACAACCAATCACATTGTTTAAATTCCTGGAAGCCATTTAGAAGAGTCACTTGACGTTTGTCATTCATTTCAAAGTTCGTAATCTCCTTGTCTTTGCTTCCAAAACTTAGTCTTAATCAAAAATTCTTGTCTGGATAACAGAACTTGGCCAGACTTTTCAAAGTCTCTAAACTTGACGCAGAAAGATTTGACTTATACCAAACTGAACTTGTATATATGTGTGTATTGATTGTGGCCAAATTTGCTGTYGAATTATGTTTCTGTTAAAAAAGTTAAACTGTTGGAGTACGCCTTAAATTTCCCTTGTAGCCGTGCTTTCACGATGTTAAATGTGCATTAAATATCCGGTCTCTCTGCGTTAATTCTCCACACTGTCTCGGGACAGTCACTGAATAGACTAGTGCATGGGACACGTGATAAGTACGAATACCACCCCCACGCAGACTAATCTGGTAGAAAAATAACGAAAGAAAAAAAACAACAAAAAAGCTAAAATGTAACGCATATTATTCAAGCGACTGAAATATAGAATATTAAGTCCTATGTCACAATATGTAAACTTGAGCAAAGTTCAAAAGATAAGGATGGAATAAATAAATAGATTTTTTAAAAGAAAAATTGTATTTTTTTGTGTAAGAAACTGACATTGAATGCAATCTCGTACCCAGAGCCCTCATTTCTTACTGCGCATGCTCGACGAAATAATTGGGCTCTGGAAAACTCCAATATTTCCTGTGCTGTGATTGGTTCTCGAGAACAAAGGAAGATACCGGAAGTAAAAATTACAGTACTAGGGAAAATAAACAAGATGACGTCTCGAATTAATKAAGTACACCAAAAAAGCCTGTAGGGCCGGATATTTCAAAAGTTTTGCCGGTTTTGTAATGGAAATTGTATTGATGTCCATCCAATAGATATTTTCGGAGTTAATTTAACTGAAAACCATCTTCAAAACCTAATTTTCCAAGCGCAAATTCACATGCTCGTTGAACATCGYCTGCCATTTTGAATTTACCTAGTCTGTCATAATGCGCATGTGCGAGAAACCCAGAATCTGGGTCATCCGGTTTGGAGTTTTCCAGAGCCCAATTATTTCGTCGAGCATGCGCAGTAAGAAATAAGGGCTCTGGGTACGAGATTGCATTGAATGTAGATTCGATAGTGAAGGGCAGTATTTACCTATTGAGTAATCTTTGAGTCAAAACATTGGAARTGAAGGACTCCGCCCATTTTTATTTAAAAGGCGTAGATTTATAACATATTAAAAGGTTTTCGTGTCCATTCTTACCTTAGATTATAAGATATCATAAATAACCATTGAGCCAAGGAAAAAATACTTGACAAATATAAKGAGTTTTGTTAACAGGACTACATGGAAAAATGGTTTAAACCCCTTTAAGTGGGCGGATCTAGGATTTTGAGTTACGCACCACCCCACAAACAATTTTACAATCTTTATTATTCAGTTCCCACATTTTCGAGGCAATCCTGTATATTAAGAAGGCCCTAACAGTGCCGTGTCTTKGTTGGTTCAACAAACTTCAATTCCATACGTGAGATTTTTTTTAGCACTCGTTCACATCATAGTTATATGTGAACGAGTASCAACCAGTGAACATCACCAGAACAGTTAATCAAGTCAACCCTACCATGCAGCGTGACTACGACCGCTAAATAATTAGTCCATAGCATTTGATTGTTTCGATAGAACCGACTTTGTCGTAACGCATTGACAATGCATATTGGTCTTAAAGGGATCTTGCGTTATTTGAGGTAATCGTTATTACCGTACCGTGATCGATTGTGTTTAGAGCCGTGTGATTTCACACTCAAACAAAAATCTGCCCAACTTACGTTAATGGCTTTTCAGTGATGACGTAAAGTTTTGTTTAGCAAYAATTAAACTAATGAATATTTCAGATGATATATATAATGGCAGTATATTTTATTTTACACCATTTCAAARTTACAAGAACTAGATGGTTTCAGACGTTTGGAGTTTTGGCTTCTGGTCAATCAGTTAGCACGGACTGAGTTGTGCAAATTAACGGACGAGGGTTAGATATATGAAAATACCAGAACCATAATTTAACGAAACTACACCTTTATAAAGTCCCGTTTACACTAGCGATTTTTGCTGCGATTTTTGTGGCAACTTTCGGAAATATGAAATCTTTTGTCTCACCCTTCTAAAGAGATTTTCGTCTAGGAAAATCTTGGTATCCTGAAATAAACTTTACAAGTAAATTCTTTACCATTATCTATTAAGGACAAAATCGCAAAAAAATCGCAGCAAAAATCGCTAGTGTAAACGGGGCTTAAAGGGACTGATCTGAAGATTCTTACGTCGAAAAGAAATCATGGAAAATTAAACAAAAGAGAAAGAACAGAGGGGAGGAGAGGGCGAATCATAGATGATTATAGGGYTTTTTACCATAATTATTCGCCATGGGCTAATAAACTAAAAAAAAMAACTGAATACCGGACCAAAACTTCGGTATGCGACTTGTCATTTTAAGTTATCATTTCTCTTTATCAAAACAAATTAGTTCTGGCGCTTTTAATAACTATTTCCAATCTTYGTTGTTTTTTGAAGATTGAAGAGCCTAAACTCAACACTGTCTGTGTGACTTTGATGGGAGTAATTGAAGTTCACGAGTGTTATCTCGAAAAGGCATCACAAGAAACATTGAAAACACATACAGGACAGAGTTGAAAAATTAAGATAGCAACGATTTGTGTACATTTGAAGCTAGCGCACTGGTGTGGATTACGTCAGAGATGATCGCATTTATYAATACAGAGGTATTATCTCAGCTGACGCAAAAAGTAAGGCCTATCAATCACGTAGTTTGATCGCAAAACAAACATCCGACCTGAACTACCAATAGTTTGAAGATAACTCAAGCTTTGTTTACAGTAACATAATTAAAGTAGTCTGAGTAGCCGCTTGCTGGGATTCTCAAGAACAAAGCCGTTAACACCTCATTATCAACAGATCAAAGAGACTCTGGAGCAGATAAATCGTGGATTGATCGAATAGGATCAAACAGCATTTTCTTCGTCACATGCAAGGAGATTAAACTTCGGCGTGTTACAGATACTTTTTCTCTGAATTGCGGAAGAGTTTCGAGGGTTTTTTTTTTACGTTGTGGATCGAGATGGATCGCAGAGTCAAGTTTCCTCATGAGCTAGTGTTTCATGATATGGTCAAAGATGGAGACTCCTCCGAGATGTCGCATTTCCTAAAACGTCCGAGTGTCGATCCCCAAGGTATTATCAATTCCAGAGGAGATCAGTCAGGCCCGGCATTACACCAACTCGTCAAAGATGGAAATCTAAAATGTGTACGTGTYCTGGTCAATCTTGGAGCTGATGTTAACATGCAGGATGATGAWGGCTTTCGACCACTTCAYCATTGTGCCTACACAGGGAACTTCGATATGGCTAAATTTCTGATGAAGAGAGGGGCTAACCCTGACCTGACYGATCACCAAGGCCGTACTCCAGTGGATTTGACTGAAGACTTTGATATGATTGAACTACTCATGATGTATTCGCCAGAAGAAAGACGAAAGAGCATGTCCAAGTGATGCAGYATTTAGATCGCGTTTATTCCGGTGTCCTGCCGTTTTTTTGCGCTTAATCACTTTATGATGATTGGGACATTGTCGCATTTCGGGACGTCCGCACGCCCAAGCAAGATCGATGAGATTTAGAACGAAGCTAATACRGTCTAAGGACGTTTAAGGACCTAAAAGTGCGCCATTATTCCTTTGGTGCGAGGCTTTAGAACAAAGAAAAGATGGAGCGACAAAAACACRAAATGTTTACTTAAAGTACAGCTTTTGAGAAATGACAGATGCAATAAGTGGCACACGTTCTACCGCCATCTTTGCAACGGGCCGAAAAGAAATCCCGCAGTTTAGTTAATATTAATATATATTGTTATTAACTAAAATAATTACAAAAACAACGCATGTGAAGGTTATGGCAGAAAGTTTTTCTGGACAAGTAAATGTGTTTCTATTATCAGTCCATTGTACATTTTCGTACATTTAATTAAGTTTGCATGGTTTCATGCGTGTGCTTTTTGCTTGTTCAACTTTAGAATCAAAGTTGAAAAAAACTAGGCGTAAATCAAATGAAAACTCGTATAACGGCAAATGCATGCAACGAGAAACGYAGTRAATTAAGCAGGTTTGATACTAAATMGGGTAAAACAAGGMAATGTWRTTRTAATATAGAAACTCGATGCGATTCATTAAATTCAATGTAACTGCATTTTTTAAACTAGGTCCCCGATTATTCTTGATTTTTCAYGAATTCGAATTCAATGGTAATGTGTTGAAGGACAGAAATTTTAACATTATACACATTATAAGGCTGAGCAAGGCTGCTCATTCAGAATAAAGGTGGATTGCGCGAATACAGGTCAAARCRAGAGTTAATTTTCTATACTTTTCTATTATAAACTCATTTAACGGTCTTTTTATATCTTGTATTGTGAACTAATGACTGGGTGACCTCGTTTTCGTGCCCTATTCAGCCATTACGAGAACGGTGTATTTATCAAGACATTCTTAATGCAATTTCAAAGAACGTTCTAGAAATCTACTTTGCATTGTATGAACAAGACAAAATATTAGTGTCAWTTAGTACGATATTACAGCGCTTCTCAATCAGACACGTGAAATCGTACAATTTGCCATCGTGACGAAGTAGGTCTTGGTGAAAGTCAATCAATGCGTYTCCAAGACATTCCACAGGCACGTGCCCTTATAAAGCTTTGCGTTTTCCAACAGTGCTGGTCAACGCTTTGATTGGCGTCCACCAAAACRATTTCCCGGCTCCGCGTAATGTTGCCTCATTTCACCACGTGTCATTCCCTTGAGAATAATATTCTTTGTTTGAGTTGTATCCATATTCATGTGTCTTCTCATGTGCAACCGAGAAATGATGCTCTAGGGAATGACACGTGGTCTGAAATGGGACAACATTACGTCAGAGCCGGGGAGGTCTATTGAAAAGCGCTGTAATAAAAAAATTTAGTTGGTTAACTGCATGGAGCAAAAAATTCAACATAAATGTTGCTTCGCCTTGCGAAGGAGTTTTGACAGAATCATTTGCTTTCTAATAAACGATTAATAGTTTTAACTCCTTGTTATAGGAGTCGCAAGATAATGSTATTCAGTTATGGGCAAAAAAAGAAACTATGAAAACGATTCTGGTATAAATATGCTAGTGGTATTAATGAGACGCAATAGAGGCTTTTCACCATCACGTCAYGGCAGCCTTGTTAGATGGCAGGAACAATACAATCGTTTTTCATGAGCAAGAATTCAAATTCCGAGAGCAAAGGGATTATATTGTTCTGCCATCTAACTACAGGCAGTACAAGCTAGCGCTGTATTATGGGCACCGGCAGGTGATGGTGCAAAGCCTCTATAAGGGTAACAGGTAATTGTATGATATGCATGAACTGTAGCCTCTATTTACGAGTGGTCTATRTATATAGCTTGCAAAAAAGCCATTTGCATGATGGCGTCATTTTACTACCACTACCAAAATGCTGTGCTAATTTTCTTTCTTATTTTCAATGCGTCATGAGAATAATACAAAAATAGTCGTTCATTAACTGATAAAAGATAATGCGCAAGGGGTTATGGTTACTGTAGTAAATGACGTTAACAGGCAAATGACTTGCAGGTCCAATAGAATCTAAGCATTGCTCTAGAAGGGCCTATTTTTCTTATGAATATTGTATATTTATGCATATGGCATTCTAAGGACTTTGAGACATTTTGCATTACTTTTCTTTCATTCATTCTGTATATTTGATGTGTATAATTTATTGTTAGGTCATCGAGATAATGGAATACACTAGAAAAAAATGACGACAGCAACAACAACAACAAACAACAGAGTGAAAAGCAACATCAACGACACTAGCAATAAGAACAACAGCAAATGAACAGAAAACAACAACAGAAAACAATAAACAGCAGCAACAACAAAGTCMTAACACCCTGCATGTTAAATACAAGTACCTGGAAGCGCTTAAAAAAATATAATTTATTACCACCAATTCAGTCACTAATGGATCTCATGATCAAGAGAGGCACTACAAGGCTCTCTACAAAGTTACACTTCGGAACCTCTATAATAGGGACACCGAATGGCCAGTATTATAGATGTGCCCTTGATAGTGTCTGTCTGTCACATATAAGAGGTGTCCGCAATATCCAGGTGTCTGTTATCTGAATGGATAAATAATTATTATTGCCTTTTAGGAAACACTCTTATAAATAATATAGTCATTATAAATACAATTACTACCATAGCCAGGGCAATCCACATCCAACAAGCACAGTGTCTGTTAGTAATCTCTTCTATACGATCAGATTCTTGCTTTAACTTGACAAAGTTGGAGTCTACTAATCGAGTTGATGTTTCAAGTTTCTGAAATGAAAAATAAGACAAATTCAAATATTTTCCAAATAAACCAGTACTTTCTTAAAAAGCAGTTGGCAATTTTTATTCTCTCACAAACACTAAAAGCATATATATACCACCTAAATAATACTAAATAGCACTAAATTATGCTAGTTATATTGTTTTTCTATTGTTTAGTTAGTTCCATTTAGTGCTAAATAGTGTAGTTCTATTGCACACTTTTAATAATGATAAATAATAAAATATTGATGAATAAAATATAAATGAAATTTAGTGTCTCAGGGCTTAATATAACAGTCAATCAGTCACTGATCATGATTCCAAACCAAATTAGTTTTAGCTTAGTCATACCTCATTTCTGGCTAAACRGTTCTGGTCAAAATGACCAGTTAGGCAAAAATTTGACCAGTCAGGTCCTAGTTCTGGCAATACATACATTGTCCAATGTCTGGTCATCATTTTAAGCTCGGCTATGTTTTGTACTCTATTTTGCTTAAATAATCTATGATGTTTATTTATGTAAATTGGCACCAAGATTTTTCCTTTTAATCTGTGTTTTTAAACAAGTGAAAAAAAAGTTTTAGTCTATGATTTTTGCCTTCCTTGGCTTAGGTGTAGCATGGAATTGGCTCTAGCTTTTTCAAGTTTTGTCATGATATTGTCCTAAAATGTCATTTTCTGTTCAGTTTACCACTGTCATAAAAATATCAATATTTTGGAAAAATTCTATAATTTAACTCACATGATTTGATTGCCTACTTTTAAGTAGGCAATCAAATAACACTTAAATAAAATAACACTTTAACACTTTTGCCAATTAAAATTGGCAAAAGTGTTTTTTTACTCGCAAGCTACCTTGTTTCAAATGCATTTGATTCGTAAGTTAGCTGTGCCCTGCCTTTCATCAGTCGAGAGCAAGGTTATTGCAGAGTATTGAAGGTTGTAGATCTACTGCAATCTCTCTACAAGGAGATGCAGTCAGGTGCATCCCAAACATATATTTTCATGCTCATACTGCTCCTTAACTGGAATGTAATTGTTTTAATTTATATTAATCACTCAATACCTTGTGATCTTTCTTGATGATATTACTAGCCATCATGGATGTATGCTTCAAACTCTGAGCCATCCTGACCATGTCCTCGGCAATCTTTTCTTGCATATTTTGATGATACTGCAAGACAGAATCGATGCTTTCCTCATCTTCTTTGGTGCTTTCTTCTCCAGGTCTGCAACAACATCTTAGTCAGACTATTTTGCTCCCAATTTATTTAAAGAAGACACAAAAATTATTTGGTATCAAACAACTAAATTAATTTTGTCTCATCTAATGTTGATAGCAGATCTATGCATCTTTAAACCTTCAAAAGGTTTGTATAAAAAAAATTATTTTTTCCCTGGTCTGGTATTCTAAAAATTGTGCATTCGGATTGGCTACTCACATTATGTGGTTCATTGGGGAATTAAACCCCACAGCCCTAGGCTTGAACTAACAGGGGTAAGAGAAAGCACTAAATCACTATTTTAATAGMACTGTAATATCATCATTCATAAAATTAAGAGGACAATTTTAATGAGGGCAGGATGCTACAAATTAACTTATTTCTCAAAGGCATTGATCTTACCTCCTGTTTCTTAGACCTTGAGAATCTTTTTTTGAACCTAAGAAATGGAAAGAAAAACATTGTTATATTGCAATAATAATATTGCTTTTAATAAATAGTAAAAATGATAGCTACAGTAAATATGGTTAAGAGGGACAAAATCCCTTCCAGTCAAAGGGTCCATATTAACATTATCGGTATAACATCTCAGTGGCACCGGGATACTCATGCGTTCAAACTGAAATCTCAATAGTAGGCAGTTACTGCACCTCAGCAGTACACATACTTTATCATACGTAAATCTTTAGCTTGGGCATAACGTTTTACATAATTTCAAATCCCATGCAATCCTCTTTAAGATTTTTTTTTTAAATTGCATCCATATTACTCTCTTCTCATGTGTGGCCATTAAACAAAGAAATAATACCTAGGGAATGACACTTGTCTGAATTGAGAAACAAGCAAGGTATATTAATTAGCCTATAACATTATGAYGTCACAGCTTGTTTACATGGGCAAGAATGATAGGAATTTAGGTGAAATTTTCTTTTGTTCGGGATATTTAGTACAACATTTATCTGTTATCACCTTTCCCCATCTAATTAACCATTTTTTATTGTGATTTAATTCGTTTTGCTGCTATTTTGCCCCCTCTGGCGACCATGATCCTTAGCATTAAAACAATAGATTGTTTTGATTTAACGTCATAGTGTTATAGGGCAATTTCTAACTTCTTACCTAGCAGTTCCTCTCTCATTTCCTTCTCAATTCTTGCCTTGGTTTTAATGTGCAACTCTTGTGCCTTTTCTGCTGGAGATTTGTTTGTTCTTGACGTAGCAGATATTGAGCTTAGAGGCCTTGGTAACTGCTGACTTGCTAAAGCTTTTTCTGTTAGAGAACCCTAAGATACAGAACACAGACTCAAATCATTCACTTGACTTTTTGATTAACATATAAGGTTTTTAGTGTTAATATCTTGGGTTTATTTACTAGCTTGCTTGCTTCAGATTGGCTTTTGGAAAGTATAGGTATAGTCGTAAGGATTTTTTAAATCCTTTAAATTATCTGTAAAAAAAGTGAAAGTATCCGTGGTTCTCAAGCTAATTGAGTTGCTTTAATTATTTTACATGGCTTGAAGTTTTTTCTCTGGTTCTAGTTTTAAGTCCCTCCCTTTGCAATTTGAAGTCAACTTCTAAATTACAAAATGATTATGTGATGATCATGCCAAGGGCACAGGTTTGCTTGTTTTACCCTTACTTGTAAGATGTGTAATGTTTCTTTAAAGTATTCATCTTCTGACTCACCTTTTTTTCAGTCTCAATAATTCCTTTTAGAAAGTTTATTCTCTTTGTATAATCATTCATTGTATCTTGATTTGGTTTCCTATCCCACAAAGAATATTGGAAAGAAACGTATCGTAAGACTTATAGTATATTTTACAAATGTTTTATTTATCAATTGTTAGATGGGATAGATGGATGGAACGGATGCATGGATGGATGCATGGATGGATGCATGGATGGATGCATGAATAGATGGGTGAATAATATGGGATGGATGGATGGATGGATGGTAGGATGGACGGATGGACAGACGGATGGAAGGATGGATGGCTGGAAAGATGGATGGAGGGATGGAGGGACAGAAGATTGATGGATGGATTGAGGGAAGCATAACTTATGGATCAATGACGCTAGATCTAGGATATGTGGATGGGATGCATGGAAGGCATGGAATGCATAGATCGGTTGCATAAGAGTAAATTTGTTATTTGAGCAGTTACCTCTCGGCTTTAGACAGCTCAATTATTTGATTCTGCAGAGTACAGACATACTAGAAGAAGATTGCAAACTGTTAATTTCAACTTTAGGATTTATTTCATAAGCTTTTTTAAAAATATGATTTTTGACRAGGATATTCTTATTAGGTGCTAATCCATTTATTCATACATTAATCTCCCTCCAAAATCCATTTTATTAGTTATCTTACTTATCATCGTGAAAACATTATTAATCTTTTAACTAAAACTACTTCTACGTGGCGTCTATCAACTGAATATTCACGACATTCTGAAATCGTCTACTTGGAATGACTGGTGMAATAGATAATTACCTTTTCTAGTCTCCAATTTAATCCCTGTTTTTGATTTTGCTGTTCATGAGCCATTGATTCACATCGATCTAAAAGTCGAACAAGATCAATCTCAAGCCTTGAATAAGGCGCCATCTTGGATCAGGTTATTGTCCTAGGCACAGGGAGCCCAATTTAAATAATCATTTTAGAGGGAAAAAAATTCCCTTCATTACATTACACTGCAAGAAATATTCGTTTTAATTGGACATAAGAAAGTGAGCTTACTAATACGRGCGAATTCAGGGGCGGATCCAGGATTTTTTCAAAGGGGAGATTGTAGCATTGATTGAGGTACTTGTTTGGCGGGAAAGTAGCAAGGGTTCCCAAAAGGAAGTAGGTCTTATGATAATGATATTTACTGCAGGCGAGCATGGTTGTTTCAGGTCCCACACACGGCGTATAGAAAAAAAAAGCGAGTGAAATGTGTTCGGCACCCCTGTTTTAATAAAACTCRCGATGCTGTTGGTKTTGTCATGAAAATAAATCACGATGGCTCTCATAGGRRGGGTTGCAACCCCCAAAACCCATCCCTAGATCCGCCACTGGAATTACAAGTGAATAGGAAAATCAAGCGAAAATACATTACAATTCTTTTGCGCGCTTTTGTTCTTCACTTTGGTGACCTACGTYGTCTTTATGATATGTAGAAAATGTATTATTTAGTGCAAGTCAGTGGCGGATCTAGGGGTGGGTTTTGGGGGTTGCAACCCCCCTATGAGAGCCATCGTGATTTATGTATTATTATTCTTCCTG